ATGGTTGGATGGATGGTTTCTTGGTCAAATGGCTGGATAGTTGGATGGTTGGTTGGATGGATGGATAGATGTATTTATAGTTGGTTGGATGGATGATGGATAGATAGATGGTTGGTTGAATGGATGGATGAATGGTTGGATGGATGATTGGATGGATAGTTTGTTGGATGGATGGATTGTTGGATGATGGGATGGGATGTATGTATGTATGTATGGATGGATGGATGGATAGTTGAATGAATGGATGGATGGATAGATGGATGGATCTATAGTTGGATAAATGGAAAGATGGATGGATGGATCTATAGTTGGTTGGATGGATAAATGAATGGATGGATGGATGGATGGATGGTTGCTTGGTCAAATGGCTGGATAGTTGGATGGTTGGTTGAATGGATGGATGGATGGTTGATGGACAGTTGATGGATGGTTGGTTGGATGGATGGCTGGATGGATTGATGGATGGATGGCTGGTTGGATGGTTGGAAGGTTGAATGGTTGGTTGGACAATTGATTTGATAGTTGGATGGATGATTGGATGGTTGGTTGGTTGGATGGATGGATGATTGGTTGGATGATCATTAAATCTTATATTTGCTGTTTCTTTTTGCCTCAGTTCAGTCCAGTTTTCAAACCAGCAGCAGTCTGGAGAACTGTTGATCAGAACCACTTTGAAACTTTGGCTGTTTAGAAACAAAATATGTGGAAATTGTTAAAAAATGGAGAAAACAGAGTTTGATCTGTGGACCGAGTAAAACTAGAACCTGTGGGTCTGTTCCTCACAGATCTGTTCCGCTCTGCAGCTGAAGCAGGTCCACATGACATCCTGAAGCTCTACAACCCCAGAGGGAACATCATCAACATCTGCCCCAGCCTGGAGCCCAACGGGCCCGGTTCCTGCTACAAGCTGGAGGTGGTGGCAGCCGACTGCAACGCTGAGCCCTTAGGTACCCTTCAACTGGACCCCCAGGGACTCTGACTGACCCGGGTTGTTAGAAAACTGCTGACAGTCTTTACGTCATTTCAGGTGCAGAACTTGCCGGTGCTTTGGGATTTGATCTGTCCTCCATAGAGAAAAGGTCCGTTTAAAGTCTGACAGCTCTACAGCTGAACTCAGAACCAGAAGTCCACAGGAACCAGAGACCAGAACCATCTGATTTCACGTGTGGTTTCAGACTGCAGGGTCTGGAGAAGAAAGTCCTGATGGAGGCCTCTGAGACCCCTGCGGTCGTGTATGAGATGAAGAAACAAGTGGACTCGTTCCGAGAAAAACTGGAGGTAGAACATCAGCTTTGGCTCCCAGCTGCCCCCCAAAGAAGAAGAACAGAAAAATGAGAGCTGAAATCAGCTGAAGAAACTGAAACTGAGGTCTTTAAGTTAAGACGAGCTTAATGCTAAATCAAACTGATGACTAGCTAAAAGCTAATCGCTAGCTAAAAATAACAAATAATGTCCAGAACCGTTAGATAAAGATTGAAGTAGTTCAATCATAGCGAAAAGCTAAAATTAGCAAAACATTAGCTAAAATTAAAAGGCTAGCTAAAAGTAGCAAAAAGCTAGCTCAAAGACAAAAGTAGCTAAAACTAAGTAAAACTAGCAAAATGCTAACAGGAAAATAAAGCTTCAAAAGGTTACATAAAATTTAAAAGTATCTAAATACTAACTACAAAACTAAACATGAGGAAAAAGGTAGTTTGAAGCTAAAAATAGCTAAAGGCTAGCTAGAAGCTAAAAGAGTCATTACACTGCAGCATATTATTAAAACAATGATCCTTAAGTGTTGTTATAAGGAAAATGTTTACAAATAAAGAGAAATAATTAAACAAGTCACAAAAACTGAAAGTCACAGCACCCATCTCCAGAATGAGCCGAATGTTTTGACACGAGAACAGCTAAAATAGCACAAAGTCTGCAGAGGTAGCTTGATTGCAAAATAGGTAGAGAAAAATAAAAGTGGGTAGAACTGTGTGAAGCTGACTGAGTTACAATGTTACAGTTTTTATTTGCTCGTCTTCCCAACGAGCATCCCTGACTGGGTTTCTTTTGGTTCCTCTTGGAACCCAAATCAGAACCAAATCAAACTGGACTGTGTTTTGGTTCTGAATAACTCGAGTTGTTTGTTTTTAAAAATCCAAATGACTTTCAGAGCGTGGAACATCTCAGCTGGCTCGGGTTCTTCAAAGACCTTTCCGATGTAACCCACAAACCTTCACCGTTCTACCACAAGAGAACCCTGCACAAAACCAGGAAGGAGTGTGAACACGTCAGGGACAAGGTCCTGCAGATGAGGTGAGCCCGTGAGAGCACAGCCAGAAAACTGACGGGGGTCATGAACGTTCTGATTTTTGCTCCTCTGCAGCTCTCTGGAGGTCTCAGAGGAGGTGCGCCAGTACCTGAAGACCCCAACCTTTGATAACTGGTGAGTTCTGATGCAACAGCAGGATTTAAGGCGTCAAATCGAAGAACAGGCGAAGCGCCGGGTGTCTTTGTGACAAACGGTGCACCTGTTTCGGTCAGCTGATGACGGCTGTCTCTGAAGAGGCTGCGGCCCTTTTTCTTCTGATCATCTCAATATGAATGGGCCTTCAGAGGACTCGCTCATTATCAAAGGCCTCGTGAACAACAACAGACCATGTTTGAAGTGAGGTTCATTAGGAGGTCCGGATTCATTCACTGACGCTCGGCTAACGTCTCCTTTGTTCAAACGCTTTTAAAGCGAATCCACAGAGATGGAGGCGGAGCCAGAATCAAACTGGTTGACATCAGGGAGGTGAAATCCTCAGAAAACCTATTAAAATATTCAGTTTTATTGGCCTTTCTGTGTTGTGAATATTGAAAGAGACGTCTAACGTGATTGCGCTGCTTGGCTCCTTTGTTGGATTTCACGAAAGAACAAAGTTTTGAGTCATTTCTGCAAACCTTCTAACTCCTGCAGACCTCCTGGGGCTCACTCCCTCCAACCCAGATTAAATCTCTATCACCCATGAGAGGTGGGCGATCACGCCTCAATGTTCCATAACTCACCCAGCACACACACTTTTTCCCCACTCCCCTCAGGCAGGAGGTTGAGGAGCATTAAGTGTAGAACCACTAGACTGAGGAACAGCTTCTACCACACCAAATGTTAGCTTAACATCTGAGTTACGGAACATCGAGGCATGCTTTTCTTGTTTTCATTCATCTAAATGCACTGGTGTGATACCTTAGTATGTCTATTTTGGAGGTATAGCTCCCCCCCGGAGAAAACTCCACCAGCCGCCACTGATTGTCACATTTGCTTTTCATTTGCCGTTGCTGAAAAGTTAGGTTTTGATTCATGGTATTGGTTTATCTTTTCAGCACTCTGGGTTTTGTTGAATATAAATTTATATCTCCGTACCACTGCCTTCATTAAACGCAGTATTTTTTGACAAACTGAGATGCAAACATCTTGACTTTAAAGTGTGTATGAGTCAAAACTGCTTTAACTTCTGTGAATGCTAGGTTTTCGTTTGGATCTCCGTGTGTTTCTGCAGGCAGTGGGAGGACGCAGAGATCATGGTTCTCCTGCAGGTCATGTATACAGATCTGGATTTTCTCGCCACCTTCCGCATCGAGCCTGAAGTTCTGCAGCAGTTTCTGTTCGAGGTTTACCGGCGATACAACAACATCCCTTTCCACAACTTTAAACACTGCTTCTGTGTCACGCAGATGGTGAGGACGGTTCGTGTGAAGATCCAGGACAGGATTGACAGACCACCACTGGTTCCTCTCATGCTTTTATGTTGTCTTCACCTCCTCCCTGAGCAGATGTACGGTCTGATCTGGCTGATTGACCTGAGGAGTAAAATGGACGCCATCGACCTGCTGATCATGCTGACCTCTGCAGTGTGTCACGACCTGGACCACACGGGGTACAACAATGCCTATCAGGTACCCCCCCCCCCCCCCTTCAGCAGGCAGAGAGACACTTGAAGATGTAGCTTCAGAGGACATGGTGTCTCTGTTCTGTTCTAGTGAGGATGAGGAAATGTATTCTTGAATTTTTTTTATTACTTTTCAGATAAATGCACGAACTGAGCTCGCTCTTCGCTACAACGACATCTCTCCTCTGGAGAACCATCACTGCGCCGTAGCTTTTGAGATTCTGGAACGGGTAAGAATGAAAACCATCCCCTGAGCTCAAAGGTTTTGTTGTAAAACCGAGCGATCTTTTCTCTGTTTCTGCAGAAAGAGAGCAACATCTTTAGAAATCTGACCCTGGATCAGTTCAAACAGATCAGGGAGGGAATCATCAAGTGAGACCATCTGTATTTTTATCATTAACATGCCCTGATGACAGCTTTAGATCCAGACGCCTTTTGTGATTTCAGGTGCATTTTGGCCACAGACATGGCGAGACACAACGAGATTCTCAACAAGTTCAAGTCCATCCTGAGTGGTTTTGACTTCAGCAACAAGGAACACAAAGATCTGGTAAAACAAAAGCTTCTGATCGGTACAATCTTATTTTATTCTAATATGTTGAATGTAGCCAGTTGAAGTGGTCGGTGGTTTTTGATAAGGACACCCCCTGGACTGAATGTTTTCCAGGCATTTCCAACAGGGAGGATTTAGGCAAGAAGTGAAAAAGACCAAGGTAAAAAACATGGCCGTAGGTTTAACCTACATATATGAAGAAAGGTTGAATGGTTCAACGTTCTTTATTGTCATTCGCATCACATGCGGTACATGAGATGAAATGTAACTGTGTACTCAAGGTCTCAGTTGGTGCCAGAAAGGTGACGAAGCAGCTCCTGCCTGAAACTTCCACGACCATCTTTCGTCTCTAAAACCCAACAGGAAATTGTGGCAGTGAAAAAACCAAGCGACATAGGAAAAAATCCTGAACTGGTAGAAGCACCTGACCATCCCACAAACATGGTGAGATGGTGATGTTGCATAGAAGCCGGGACAAAGATGGACCATGGCATCCTTAGCCCTACCACCACCTGTCTTACCCTGAGAGCAACCAACGGTAGCCATTTACCGTAGCTAGAACACAGCCTTGAAATCCACCTGGAGCAAAACCACAAGAAGAAGAATCCAAAGTAAAACACAGAGGTCTCCCACAATGTAGAAAAACACCTCTTCAGTTGTATAAACTGATTCAAAAGCTGCAAAAGCACGTTTAGGACTAACCTCGACAGCCAAGTGGCTCACAGATGAGTGGATATTCCAGTCTGGAAGAGGTGAGGAGCTTCCAGGTGTGAGGGAGGACTTCTGAAAGTTGACTGGTATCCATTGAGCCGAACACAACAGTTTTGTCAGTGGAGTCAGAGAAGAACTTCTACGGGTGGTTGGGCCTAACGGCGCCTCACACAGTGAGGTACTGAGACAAACTTAGCCTGCGATTGTGTAAAAACTGTTAAAGATGCATAAACAGCAGTTTAGTCGTGGAAAGTCCAACTTTCAATGACCCGTTTAAATTCTGAATGATGGTTCTGCTGTAAAGTTTGAGCTGTAGATCCAAACCAGGCTGGGTTTTACCCCTCACTTCAACTCAACCGTTGTGGTCTACAGGGACATTTTCCACTGTTTCAGTGACTGTTGTACGATACACCTCAACTAAAAGTAAAGGAGCACTATTTCAGATCGACGATCTCTTTTTCAACTTTTTTCAGCCTAATTCAGCAAAAAATGTGCACTTTTCACTTCATTCTCGTAATTTAAGCTTCTTTCTGCTTTTTAGCTACTTTTTGGCTTTTTTTTTTTTTTGGGAGGGGGTGCTAATTTCAGCATTTTTATAATTTCCACTTTTTGTGCTCATTTTTGCTTCTTTCAGCCTAATTGAGCATACGTGTGTTCTTTCTGCTTTCTTGTGCTAATTTAAACTTGTTATACCTTTCCAGCTACATTTTTAGCTAATTTTAGCTTATTTAAGATAAATTCAAGTTTTTCATGGTGATCTGCTACTTTAAACCTAATTTTCTTTCCACTAATTTCAGCTCCTTTCAGCTTATTTCTGCTTTCAGTCATTTCAGCTGCTATTTAGCTGTATGCTGATTTGGGCTTTTTCAGCTTATTCCACATTTTTTACACTCATGTTCATCTAAATTAGCAAAAATGTGCTCTCTCACTTCCTTCTGGTTTTTTTAAGTTTCTGCTTTTTAAGCTACTTTTCAGCACGCTTTTTTTTGTTGTTGCTAACTTCAGATTTTTTCAGATAATTTCCACTTTTTGTGCTCAATTCTACTTTTTTCAGCTTAAGTGATCAAACGTGTGTTTTTCGGCTTTGTTCTGCAAATTACAGCTTGTTCTAATTTTCAGCTAGCTTTTAGGCATTTTAGCTAATTTCAGATAATTTTCACTTTTTGTGCTAATTTCTGCTTCTTTCAGCCACATGAACTTATTTCTACTAATTTCAGCATAATTATGATTCTTTCAGCTTATTTATGCTATTACAGCTACTTTTTAGCTGTTGTGCTAAATTTAGCTTTACAGATAATTCCACATTTTTTAAGCTCATTTCAGCTCTGTGCGCTTCCTTCTGATAGTTTAAGCTTCTTTCTCCCTTTTCAGCTACGATTCAGCAATTTTTTTGGTTGCTAATTTCAGCTTTTTTGAACTAATTTCCTAATTTTTGTGCTCATTTCTGCTTATTTAAACCTAATTCAGCAGGTATGTGTTCTTTCTGCTTTCTTCTGCTTACTTAGGCTTGTTACATTTCAGAATGTTTAGCTAATTTCAGCTGTTTTTCAGCAAGTTCTTCTGCAATAAGCATTCTCACCGTTGCAATTTTGTTGGCGCTTTTTAAAAGATGAGAGCAAAAACAAAAGAGTAAATGAGCGTTTGTGCTTCTTGGCACCTTAAACAAGGACAAGTCAAGACATTCAGAAAGTCCAAACGACACAATCACAAACTGCTTTAAAAATAAATTCATTTTAATCCCGAATTAAATCAGCAATATTAAAAGTGACCAGGACTCAGAGCGTCTCAGAAACCTGAAAAGAGCATTTTCTCCATTTGTTTCTGCAGCTGATGATGATCCTGATCAAAGTGAGCGACATTTCCAACGAAGCGCGGCCCATGGAGGTGGCCGAGCCCTGGCTGGACTGCCTGCTGCAGGAGTTCTTCAACCAGGTATCAAACAACCTGACTGAAGGAAGTTTGAAACCTGAATATAATTTGGTTAGAACATGGAGATTATCCCACAGTTCTGTTGTGAGAGATTTTTGGGTCCAGTTTTTTGTAATTTCTACAGACCTGATAATCACAGCTGTGTTGTGTTTCTGTCCAAGAGCGACGTGGAGAAGCTTGAAGGTCTCCCGGTGTCCCCCTTCATGGACAGAGACAAAGTAACTAAACCTTCATCTCAGATCGGCTTCATCAGGTTCGTCCTTCTGCCCCTCTTCATCGAGTTAGCCAATCTCTTCCCCTGCCTGGAGGTAAGGACACCCCCTCAGCCCCACAAACTGCAGACTATTTTATATTTAGCTGCTCCTCCTCCGTTCTGCAGCAGCACATCATCGACCCGGTGAGAAAAGCCCTGGACTACTACACTGAGATGGAGAAAGCTCTCGAGAAGGAAAAACAGAACCGGGCTCAGACTGAGAACAGGAACCAGGAGGCAGCAGGAGCCGAGTGAACTCAGAGACCCCAACTGAGCACACGTTTAATTAAATCATTTTAAAAACTTTATCTGATTTAAGTCTGCTTCATCTTTTGGATTTGTACTCCTACTTCCTGAGCTGTGCTTCTGTTTTCCTGTTTAAAGGTTCTGATTGAACTTACTGCCATCTAGTGGTCAGTTTGGAAACAGCAGCAATGTCTGGAAAAAACTTCTTTGAGATTTCTAAATAAAAGGTTCAGATTTTTTTCTTCTGTTTTTTGTTTCCTTAAAGTTTATTTTTGCAAAAAATAAATAAATAAATAAATGTAATGTGTTTACTTTAATAGTAGTTATGAAAAAAACAATTGAATACTTTTAAACATAATGTAATGACATTAAACCACCTGTTTCTCAAATGTATCATTTATTATTTAGCTTCTTTCTGCTTTTCAGCTCCTTTTCGGCAGTTTTTTTTTATTTTATTTTAAATTTCCACAGTTGTGCTTTATTGACTTTAGAGTGTAGCCGCATGAAAAAAGTGCTAACTTCTAAATAGAATGTGGTTTTAAAACAAAACTAAGCGTTTAAGAAAGAGCATCTGTTTCACAGAAGACTTTTTAAATTTATATTTAAATATAATAAATACTTTGCCATTAGGCTTACTTTGTAGATCAATTGTCCTGGAAATATTTGGAACTAAACTTGGTTGACGTAACGTTTTACTTTTAAATGTTTTTGACACCAGACACTTTAACTCCACAGTTTAATGCTGATTATGGAAACATCTGGAGTTTGCAGCTCTGAGAAACGATGCAGATCACAGCTGGACAGTAAGGTCGGCCATGTTGCCTTACAGCTGTGTCGGCTGAACGACTGGGGCCTTTTTTTTTTTTTGTCTTTAACACCTCTCTAGATCTGATTAATGGAGTTTTAAATGCTGCTCAAAGCTTCCAAACATAAACTAATAATCATAAAACGTATATTATACTTACTGTTAATGCATTTTTATCTATGTTTTGGAACTAATTCCTGAAACTGATGAAAAAAGTGGAAAAGTTTCAACCTCTAGAGTTTGTTGGGGGGGGGGGGTGTCTTCTGACCTTCAGCTCTCGTTTGAGTCCCTGAAAGCAGGTTTGGACTTCATCCTGAGGAGGAGTCGACTCCTCACGAGTTCAAGATGCTCAGAGGTCTGGTGTCAAGAAGAAAGTGCTTTTCTTGTCTGCAAACGGTTTTAGTGAACGGGCCCTGGATGCTTCTGCAGCTCAGAGTTGGATCTATTTTTAGTTTGCTATGAGCAGAAGAAAAAGCTCTGGAGTGAAAGAGGAGGAGGGCGATGGAGCGTGAACTCTGTGACTCTGCAACAGCTGCAGCACAGGAGACAAAACCAGGGCAAACCCAAACTGCAGGTCTGAGGAGGATTCTGCAGCTGGTTCGATCAGGAGATTCAACTAAAACTAGTTTATGAACCACTGCCTGAAACTCCAACCTCCACAAACGCTCCTCTGAGGATTTATGACTTCCTTTGTCTTAATCTGAGCTGACAGTTTGTTGTAGAGTTTGTTTGGGTTTTCTCAGAGCTGCGGGAGAATAAAGATCGCCAAGAAGCGTAACCTTTGAAACTGACACACTCGATTCTGTTTTTGAAACGCAGAACAATCTGAAATTATAAAGCCGACGCCTAAATTACAAGACAAGACAAAAAGATTCAGATTAATTACAATCGAATTTGGAGAAAAGCGGCTTAAAGGTAAACGTGTACATTTAAAAATACTTTTAGCATCATTTTAGTTTTTCACAAGAAATTGAAACATTTTTGAAAAGAACATTATAATTTCCAAATTTCACATTTTCCCGAAGTCGGTTCACATTTGGGACAAAAGTCTGGAAGTCTTTTCCAACAATATGAAGGAATAAATCCTAAATCATTAATAAGGTTTAGTATCTCCCAAATATGACTCAGTAACTTGTCATGACTAAATATGTAGCTTTAATTACTTTTTATCTCATAATTGTAACATACTATCTCATGAAAATAATACTTTCTCTTCATTATGACCTACAAAATACTTATGACTAATAATTGCATAATTATAAGTTAGTATCTTGTAATTGTGACATTACATTTTAATTATGACTTTGTATATATTTAATACGACAGCACATCTTATTAATTAATTAGTATTTCATAATTATAAAATACTCTCAAAATACATACTTCCTCTATATGTGTATATGTATCTCCTACAATCATAACATAGTATCTTGTATAATTTAGTTTCATGTAATTATGCTCCAGCCTCTGTTTATTAATACTTAGTATATTCTATTTATTACGTAGAATTTCATAATTTTAATATACTGACATGGGCACCAGTAACCCCGGTGACCCAAAAAGGAAGAAGCGGGTAAAAGATATTGGATGGATGTCCCAGTATTAATTTTATTTAGACATATTCTCAGAATAATTAATTTTTATCTCCTAAATCTGAATTAGTAGCTCCTAAGTATAACCTAGTATCTTATATTTATGATTTAAAGGGTTTTTGAAGTAGCAGAAATGGAATTTTGACCAACATTTTTTTTATAATAATTGTAAAATTAATAATTATGACCTATACACATTTAAATAAAAGTCAAACTGTTTTTTGAGCAGAAATATTAACCCAAACTCTGAAGCATTTTTGTTAAAAACTTTAAAAATCAGTTTTAAAACGTCATTTAAAAAGAAAAAAAGAAACATCGACGTCGACATTTGGTTTATAAAACATCCAGATTTATAAATCTCATCAAACATTAAAATATTTTTTTTAATGAATTGATATTTTAGTGAAAATAAAAAAAAACAACTAACAACAAATATTAATTTAAAATGTGAGAAAAAGACAATTTTGGATAAATTAATGTTGTTTTGAGGAACAGATCAGGTGATCAGTCCCATAGAGAGGGGCGGGGCCTGTTTCAGGTCCTCAAATCTGATTCGTCTCTCTGTGACGACGCCTGTTACAAGCAGCCAATCGTTACGGTTTATTGTGTTACGTCATCGCCAGATAGTCCCCGCCCTCCTTCCCTCCTCCTGCAGGAGCGGTGTTCTGTCTGAGCAGAAGAGCCGGTCCGAACCGATCAAAGATGGACCCGCTGGTCGCTGCCATCGATCAGGGCACGAGCTCCACTAGATTCCTGGTGAGTGACGTCATCCATTCATGAACGTATCAGCTGTTGAGTCGGAAACCTGGAGAAGGGGCTCCTAAACAAAGAGATGATTCTGATTTTAAATGGATTTATGGAGCTGGAACTGTCTGCGCTGCTTTTCTACAACTTTATCAAAGAATACGTAAACGTTTAAACAGACACAGAACCGTGCAAAAGTCTTAATCCAGACCTCACTTCAACCAGATTTCCTCAGTCCTTTAAAGAGGTTCTGAAAGTTCTGCAGACTTTGTTCCGTGGACTCGGTTCTGGTACCGGTCTCAGAGGATGTGGGGTTTTACTACAAGTCTGTCTGCTGGTGCCGATCCTGTTTAAGGTCAACTTTAAAGTTCACTTTTGGACTTTTCAGGGCCAGAAAAGTGGATTGTTTTGTCTGAACTGGGTCAGCTGGAACCCCGAGGCTGTGCACGCAGGGAGATTTTCACAATAAAACACTTAAACCTTTATTCTGAAGGAGTTTTAGTTAAGCCAAATGATTAAAAGTGTTTTAACGGCCTTCAGGACAGAGTTTTAGACCAGGTTGTCAAACGTGTTAACGCCCAGAGCTTGTGTTGTTAATGACTCTCAGCTACTACCACACCACGTTTCAGCTCAACATCTGTAACATCTGTAACACTGAGTTGAAGCCAGTTTTGTGGCGGCCATCTTGAATCATGTTGAATCCAAAACTCAATCATATGTAGACGCTGCCTAATCATTACTGTCTTCAAGCTCCATTTTCTCATTCATGAGATATTTTGCTAACAGACATATGCCTCTGCTTTTAGCAGCAAGCATGAAAGCATTTATTCAAACAGCCTTAATTCTGACATTTTTGCTTAATATATATATATATTTTAATCTCCTAAACGTCGTCTAGCCCTCAAACAGAAGCTCCAGCAGGAACGTTCGTTTTGTTCGTTAACAAAAAGAGAAGAATCCGGCGGAGCGGATCGTTTAGAAACAGTTTTAAAACCAACGTGGTCAATAATTATCAAAGCACGCTGCTTTCCAAGCGACCTTTGACCTTCGGTCAGGCTCCTCAGTGGTTGTTTTTACTCTGAGACCAAAGAGAAGCTGGATTGAGTCAGATTAGGATAATCTGTGACTCCTGCGTCCATCAAATTTACTGACAAACAAACCGTAGTTTCCATGTTGGCACAGATAAACAAAAGTTTAAATTGTTTTCTGTCACTCCAACAGACTTTAGATTGAGAAATGACAAAATGATGTAAAACTGGTTTCCCATCATGCTCGGTGTGACATCATCACGAGGCTCCTGTTCCGAAATCTTTCTGGGTTTTACAGGATTTCAAACTCTGGTTCTGAGTCATGACGGTTCCAGCTCAACGCTAACGGACAAGTCACATCAAAAACTTCTCAAACTTTTGATTGGACTGAATTACGGACGTTGTTTTTGGGATTAATGAAAGAAGCTGAAAATGAGATTTTAAACTCAGATTAAAGAACGCCAGCAGCTGATGTGAAAGAGTCAGTTTTTAAATTAAATGATTTCCTGTTTGGAGGTTTATTTACAAACAGCGGCGTTCACAAACCCCGACTGGTAATAACATGTTAATGACATGTGTTGACATCAAAGCTCCTGGCTCTCCCAACACCTCATGAGTTTTATTGTGTGAATGTTTAAGAAGCTGTCACTCCACTGTGATCCAGTTTTCTTCCGGAAGTTTTTAGACACGATTCTCGTCGCTATTTCACCCAATCATAAATCAAAACATTCAGCACATTCAGAAGGGTGCGATGACTTTTGGTTTTGGTGCAACTTTAGCTTTTTGAAATGTTTAGCCTTTTCTGCCACGTTTCCTCATAGAAAATGAATTGAGCTCATTTTACATCTTTAGCTCTGTTTACAACCTTTTACATTTTGTTCTACCGGTTCAGCTTCCTTGAGCTAACGTAAACCTTTTCAGCTTCTTTCAGCTAATTTCAGCTGTTTTTGTTTTTAGCTATTTTGGGCTCCTTTCAGATTCCTAGAACATTTTTATGCTTCTTCTAACTTCTTTCAGCTTATTTCAGCTTGCTAGTTTCAGCTTTTTCTGCTATTTCAGCTACAATTTAGCTGTGTTATGCTAATTTTAGCTTTTTCAGCTAATTCTAGAGTTTTTTATTATTGTTTATAGCTCATTACAGTTCTTTCCACTTCCTTCTGGTAGCTTAATCTTCTTTCTGCCTTTTTAGCTACTTTTCAGCAGTTGTTTTTGTTGCCAATTTCTTATTTTTTCCAAGATAATTTTCACTTTTTGGTGCTCATTCTGCTTCTTTCAGCCTATTCGGTCATACATGGGTTCTTTCTGCTTTATTCTGCTAATTTAAGCTTGTTCTAGCATTTCAGCTACCTTCTGAGCATTTTTTTTAGTGAATTTCAGCTGTTTTTAGATAAAATCAAGTTTTTCATGATACTTTTAGCTACTTTCAACATAATCTACTTCTTTATCAGCTTGTTATAAAAAAAAAAATCAGCTTGTTATGCTCCTTTCAGTTTTTTGCTGCTAGTTTCAGCTTCTTTTCAGCTATTGTTTGCTAATTTCAGCTTTTTTAGCTAATTTCCAAAATAGTTTTTTTTTGCTCATTTCTTCTTGTTTAAACCTAATTCAGCAAATATGTTCTTTCTTCTGCTAATTTAGACATTTCATTTCAGCATGTTTTTTTTAGCTAATTTCAGCTGTTTTTCAGCAACTTATTCTGCAATAAGCACACTGCATTTTCGCAGGAAATGCAATTTCTCTAGTTTTTGTTAAAATCTGATCTGATTATTGATGAAGTGCAGGAATAATCTGATATTTGATCAGTTTGTGTGCAGCTTGGACCTCAGGATATTTTCTCTCTGAAGCTTTATCCTCTTGTTAATTTTAAAGAAGCTGATGAAAGAAGCTGATGTTCAGATTAATAATCTGTTCGGGCCTCGTTCCCCTCAGCTACAGCTGCAATCATGAAGAATAATAAGTCTCGTATAATTTTAAAACCACAACCTTCAGTTTAAATCACTTTATTATTGAAGCGCCTACATTACTTCCTGTCTCTTGTTTCTGTGAGGTTTGTTTCTCTCTCCTCCCACAGTTTTAGATAAATCAAGATAAATACACATTAAAATATGTGCATTGATCTGGAGCAGTGTTCTGTAAACTTTAGCACTGGCAAATAATTATATTTAAAAAAATAAACAATTATAAAAACAGGATTTCTCGAGCTTCTGACCAGCTGTTTTTTTTTTTTTTTTCTGCAGGTTTTCAACTCAAAAACAGCCGAACTGATCAGTCACCATCAAGTGGAGGTCAACCAGAGGTTCCCAAAGGAAGGGTGAGTCCCGACATCCAGACAGGACGTTTACTGACACAATCTGAACACATTTGACACATTTAGACACAAAATGTTATTTTAAATAGCGGAACAAAATGAGCAACAGGAAGTTGTGCATCTCAGATGGAGACGCCAGCAGCCGTTCATTCAGCCGCTTTGATTCAGCACTTTAAGTTATTATTTAACTGGATTTTATCTTGTCTTAATGTTTACTGATTGGGTCAAAGGTTGCTTTTATTTCACTCTTGTGCAACAAAATGGCTTTGTGTTTACTTTGTTTACAGTTCGATTTAAAGAGGTCAAAATATCAGAGGAAATAACTTAGATAAAAACTGAAAAAACCTTAATGCAATACAATAAAATACTTGGGTTCAGTTCTGTTTCTGTGCTCGTTTGGTTCTGGTGGGGTCAGATGGGTGGAGGAGGACCCCAGGGAGATCATTCGGTCCGTTTACGAGTGCATGGAGAGGACCTGCGAGAAACTGGAGGGACTCAACGTTGACCTTGCCAACATCAAAGGTGAGACTCAAACATAAAACTTTAACATTTAAGGTTAAGACTTTTGTTGTTTACACACAATTGGGGCGGCTGTGGCTGAGTGGTAAGGGCAGTCAACCTCCAATGCAAGAGTTGGGGGTTCGATTCCATTAGCAGTCGTATGCCAAAGTGTCCCTGGGCAAGACACTGAACCCCTCCTTGCCTCTGATGTGCATCCCATCAGTGTATGAACGATCTAATCTAAAGAAACGATTAGTCTTGGTACAGATAGAGTGTAGAAAGGCACTCTACAAGTACCGGTACAGTCCATTTACATTTTCTGAAAACATGCTTCATACTCTCAGAAGGCTACACACACACACACACACACACACACACACACACACACACACACACACACACACACACACACACACACACACACACACCAGTGGTGCAGTCTACATTTTTGTAGTGGGTATACCGCGGTAGTTGGTTTTACGTTGGACACCGTTGAAGCCACAGAGCGCGAACGTCCAACGTAAAACTAACTTTACCGCGATCCGTCCATGTGCTTAGAAACCAAAGTACACTGGTTAGTACAATGTAATCGTCAATTTATTTAGATTTTTAAGCATAATGAACATTTATTTCCATAAACGGACAACAAACTTTGTACAACAGTTGGCTTTGTATTAAAAACATGTTATAGAATTTGCAAAACAGTATCAAAGCTGAACATGTTCAAGCATTAAGTAGTAAAAAAAAATGTAACTTTTTTTTTTTATTAAGTAGTAAGTATTAATTATACAATAATTCGCTGGATAAACGAATGTAATAAACAAGCGCTGCGTACAGATCGATTGTTACGGAAGCGTTTAACTGTCATTTAACGCATCAGTGACACATGTCTAATGATGTATTACTGGGCATTTTACAGTGAGTATACTGACATTCTTAAGCTTTTCTAGTGGGTATACTCCGTATGCCCGAGTATCACGTAGACTAAACCATTGACCCACACACACACACACACACACACTCAAATAAAACCCCTCAATTCTCCTTCAAAATGAAACTTTACATTCAAAACAAACGTTCTCTTCTCAAAATGGGATTTTTTTTCTCCGACGACGCACACAAATCATCTACTACATCATTTTTTATCATCTATATACGATCTATTTTAATCATTTTTCAACCTTTATTAATACAAGTTAGTCTCATTGAGCCTCGAGGACTCATTTACAACAGAGACCTGTAAGGAATGAAGGGAGATAAACAACTGAAAAGCGTGGGTGGGCAGTGAACCAGTTACAAACCAGAGCAGCTCCGTGGAAACGTCCATTATCCCAAATGACAACATACCTGAGCTGCTCTGGTCCGTCTATCTGATCCGGTGGAATGATGTGTAGGGAGTCCAGGAATGTAACCAGATGAGCGGTGTTGCTGGGGCCAGCATGGTGATGGATGACGTCGCTGCACACATTGTGATGTTCCCTCCGCGATGGCCAGGGACTTCAACAAAGGCGCGCTGGCCGGTGATATTCCTTCTCCTCAGTCTTTTTGTGAGGTTGAATCCAACCTCATCGACGAAGATGAACTGGTGCTCCGCTGCAGCCACCTCTAGCTCAGGAACTCTGAAAAACACTTCAGTATCTGAAATAGATGTGGAGTGGTCACGAATGTAAAGCACAATCATTACAATACTGAAATATGAATACTTTATACAGTGTTGAGTGTATGCATCAATTGTGGGATTGTATAGGACTTGCACACAGTTATATTGCAATTATTTGACTCTTACTGAATTGTGTTCCAAACTCTCACTCCTCTGGCTCTACCTGCTTCCAATGTTGGCATCCATTGCTCCAAAGCAGAGGAGCTCACCTGTTGCCCTTTTGTGCTAAAGCTCTGATTGCTAATTGTAAGAAGGCGTGTCGGATGTTTGTCCATGTGACGAGTCAGTGTGCATAGTAGGGCAATTAACTTTGGAATTTTGAACAAGTGTGTTCCTTGTGAAAACAAAAGATTTTCTGCATGAAAATTGTGCCAAATGCAGCAAAATTGTGTGTAGTGTTTTGAAAAAAAGTGTGTTTTAGAACCGCATTGTGAGCGTAGAGCAGGAATTGTGCTTTTAGTTTAGAAGAATTGGTTCAGGGGGTTGGTGCGTGAGTTACGTGCTCTGGTCTTTGTGCCTCCAGTATCAGTATTTGTGTGTAAACAGTTCAGAAAAACTGTAAACTGTAAAGGTGAGACTTTAATTTCAAAAGTGAGACGTTAACATTGAAGATGAGATTTTAACATTAAATATACCATTTTATTTATAAAGCACTTAAAACAGCGACAAGGCCAACCAAAGTGCTGTACAGACAGAACAACAGGTAACACACAAAGCAAAATACAAAATGAAGTAAATCAGAATATAGACGTAAAAACGATGCAGATAATGACGACTAACCAGTGTGGAGCATACAGGATCAAAACACAGATCATCTGGTGTTGAAAGCTACTGAATAGTAGTGAGTTTTTAAACGGGACTTGAAAACTGAGAGGGAGGGGGCCAGTCTGACAAGCAGAGGCAACTCGTTCCAAAGTCTTGGTCCTGCTACAGAGAAGGCCCTGTCACCTCTGCGCTTAAGACGAGTTCCTGGAACTGTGAGGAGCAACTGGTCCGCTGACCGCAGGGGGCGTGGTGGGGCATACGGTTGTAGCAGATCAGAGAGATGGGGGGAGCGACACTGTCCAGCGATTTGTAGACATACAGAAGTATTTTGAACTGGATTCGAAGGTGAACCAGTAACCAGTGCAGTGAGGCCAAAACTGGTGTAATGAATATGAGACTTTAACATTGAAGATGAGACTTTAACATTAAAGATGAGACTTTAACATTTCAGGTGAGACTTTAATTTCCAAATTGAGACGTCAACATTGAAGATGAGACTTTAACATTAAAGATGAGTTCTGAATTCCAGAATTGCGCCGCTCAAAGTGGCTGCATGTTGGAGTAGCTCTCATATTCATTCTGAGATTTTGCTTTTTAAAACTTTACTCTTTTTCTGAATGCAAATCGCTTTTTTTGGATGATTACTTCCTCTGGTATCAGATGCTGTGCTGCTGGCATGATTTTTACTGAAACATTTTTTACTTTTGGACATTTGTTATGATGTGTAACCATAACAGCAGGGTGGTTTTCTACAACTGGGAGCTGATGATTAACATCTCAAAAGCTCAAATCTCAACTACAGCCCCGAATCCCAAATGAGTTGAAAAGGAGGTGCCATGGATGCATTCCCATCTACCTGAAGGCAGTACTCGAGTGCCTGACTGTAGAGATCTTGGAGGTAGCAGGAAACGCAGCTTGTGACAGCGGGAGGACCAAGATCATCCCCCGGCACCTGCAGTTAAGTCTGCAGCAACAAGTAGGCTGCTGGGAGAAATGGCCATTGCTCGGGGAGAAGTTCTGCCTGGCATTCAGGCAGTCCTGCTGACCGAGGGGTCTGCTGGGGCTGGGTGAACGGATCGACATCTGTAGTCAGTTTCTTCGGATCCACTGTGGGACGGACTGCTACAAGAGATCCTTCCTGCCCAAAGACATCAGCATCTAGAACAACTTTGCTGGAACCAAGATGAGCTACAACAACAATTAATTTCCCTTTGGGATTATTAAAGTATATTTGAATTTTTTTTGAATGAGACTTCAACATTAAAGGTCAGACTTTAACATTAAAGATGTGACTTTAATTTCAAAAGTGAGACTTTAACATTAAAGTTGAAACTCTGATGCAGCTGATTCGAGCTGGTGGCGAATTTCTATGTTGATGGTTTTCTTGTTGTTGTTTACCTGCAGCGGTGGGGGTGACCAACCAGAGAGAGACCACCCTCGTTTGGGACAAAGAGACCGGAGAGCCGCTCTACAACGCCATTGGTGAGTTTTCATCCAACGAGGAAGAGAGAGTTTATCTGCTGCTGAGTCTGTTTACGCTGTCGTCAAACATTTTTTCACAAGAATCACACATTTTCTGCAGGCTGTGATTTCCTGTCTCATCACTAAGTGTTTAAAGTCTGTTCTTTAAAAACACGTGATTCACTGGTTGGTTTCAAGCATCTTTCTCAGAAAACTAATCTAGATGCTGTAAACTTTGTTGTCCTGATGCTGCTCCGTAATCTAGGTCCACCAGTTTGCTGCTGACAGCCAGAACTGGTTGTTCCTAAATAAAACGAGGACCATCAGCCTAACATTTGATTCTTAGTGCCCTAATGGCTGCTTGCTATTCACAGAGGGCTCAGTGATACTTGCAATAACAACATTGTAAGAGGTGGACAGTTGGACACGGAGGCCTCCGCCCCCGTATGGACGAGTTCTCTTCACAAAGATGGCTTCCTCTTCAGGGCACTCACCATCGGTTGTTAGGCTGATGGTTCTCCTTTAGCATGTCAACAACTAGTTCTGGCTGTCTGCAGCAAACTGGTTTTGAGAGTTTGTTGCAGCTCCTCAGACTGACCAAGTGTTTTGGATCAAAGACAAAACATTTCACCAAAGAAGAACCCATCCAGAGGACTTGACTCAACCTGGTTCTGTTTGGTTTGTTGCAGTTTGGTTGGACCTGCGGACTCAGTCGACGGTAGAACGACTCATTAGTAAAACTCCAGGGAGGAACAAGAACCACCTGAAGGTGAGAGACAAAAGAACTGTTTGCAGAGAATCAGACATCTGGAACATCAAACCTGTTTGTGGTCACTGCAGCAGAAAACTGGACTCCCCATCAGCACTTATTTCAGCGCCGTGAAGCTGCGCTGGCTGCTGGACAATGTGGACGAGGTGCACGAGGCGGTTCTGAGTAAACGGGCCATGTTTGGCACCGTGGACTCCTGGATCATCTGGGTAAGAACCACCTTAGCTGCAGCTTTTTGTCCCACAACATGTTTAAAAACTTTTGGGGTTTTGTTTCAGTGCCTGACGGGCGGCAGGACTGGAGGCGTCCATGTGACGGACGTGTCTAACGCCAGTCGCACAATGCTCTTTAACATCCACACGTTGGACTGGGACCCTGAACTCTGCAGGTGAGGACACCTTGAACACCTTCTGCTGTTCCCGTAGAATTTATGCTGCCAGGAGTCAACACAACTAGGGACCCCTGACCTGCTGCTTGGCTTACATGGCACCCAACTGTGATGGTCCTCCTCACAGGTAGTGGGTCCATGTGGACCTGGCATTCTGTTGACCAGGCTGAGTCTCAGGAGCCAGGACTTCACCAGGTCTGGCTCCAGGGACGTACCTTGGGTTCCCTTTTCCTGGCGAGGTTTCCTGATGCATGGATTGTTTATCCATCAAGGTTTCTGACTTGCTCTTGGTCTGACCCCCCACACCCAATTCCCCAACAGGGGCTGATGAAGCCCCCACGATCACGGGGCCTCAAACCCCTCAACCACATTAAGGTGGTGACTCTGTAGAGGGGCTATAAATGAGTTTTATTACTTTAATTTGCTTTTATGGCACATTTTGACCAGATTTGTTGTAAAGACAAAGACAGTTGTAGTTCTTAAGGCAGTTTGTGTTGTTGTGTCTTTGTTTAGTTTGTGTTTTTAGAAAAGATAAACCGACAGGATCACAAGTCGATGGTTTTAAGGGTTAGAAAATAAAAATGTTCAAATTCACTCCTTCTTAAAACCTGTTCTGGTTTCTCTGATGAGAGTTTGATGAAGTTTAAAAAGTTTGCTTTGTTTTGTTTTTAAGGTCACAGAATGTTTCCAGATGTCTGGGATTTTTATCTCAGGAAAGTTGAGACAAAACAAAGAAACCAAATATCCCTTAAACCAGTGGTTCCCAACCGTGGTCCTTGAGGAACACCATCCTGCATGTTTTAGTTGTTTCCCTGCTCCAACACACCTGATTCAGTGATTTAATTACTTCCTCACATTCTGCAGAAGCATGTTAATTACCCAATATTTAAAAGCAGGTGTGCCGGAGCAGAGAAACAACTAAAATAAGCAGAATGGTGTTCCTCAAGGACCATGGTTGGGAACCCCTACACAATCAATACCAAAAATAATTCTTCATTTGTTTTATTGACTCAATTGTGGACTCTCCTCAGATTTAAAGCAGCTAATGAACAAGGTTGTATGCAGATGAAGGTCAGGTTGTAACATACAGAGCTGTGCAAAAGTCTTCATCATTTCGTTTTTTTTTATATTTTGCGTCAAAGAAGCCAGAATTTCTTATTTGTTTCTTTAATGAATTAAAAATAGGTCTGTGATTATATTAGACATCCACCTGCCTTTTTCAGGCCTGAAGTTTCTCTTTGTCAAGTTTTTTTTTTTAATTTAAACACAAAATAAATGAAATCTGCTCGTTTTTCTCCAGTTTGATTTCCATTTTATTTTCATCAACAGAAGCCGGGCGCCTCTGTTTGCCTGTACATGTAGAAAACAGAACGAAGTCCGACGTAGGTTCTGCTCAGCAGATGTTAATAAATGATCCAAGTCTCGTCGTTCTTCCAGGTACTTCGACGTTCCGATGGAGATCCTCCCAAAGGTCAGGAGTTCGTCTGAAGTCTACGGCTGGATGGTGAGAACTTCCTGTCTGCATTTGGGTTTGAGACGAGACCTTTGTACGTGTGAGTCCAGCTCAGAGGTTCAGAGACGAGAACCTTGTTTCTGTTGAAGCTGCAGGAGACAGATCAGCAGGTCTGAGGCTCTGACAGCAGATGTTTAGTCGTTTACTCTTATCTCGCTGAACAGGAGTGTTTCTCTGCAGCGAGCTGGGCTTTGGGAGCTGCTGTTCTCCTCGGCATTGTGTCAGTTTCAGAGCAGACTTTGGTCCTGAAGGATGATGTCAGCAGCTTTGATTGCACTTCATCTGACTTGATAATAGATACACGATTAAACTTTGATTCATGATAATAAAGTAATTCTTTAAACCATATTTCTGTCATTGAAACTAATAAATCAGTTAAGTAATAAATGAACACACTGCTGTTTTCTGCTTACTGGACTCTAGGCTATAAATAATTGTTTGATGAAACGTTCTGTTTTCTGACTCAGAACCTCCTTAACAGAGAATTCCTTAATTCTTTGTATTTTCCTCCCAAACAGCCAGACTTTCTTCTAAGTTTTTTTTTTCTCATTTTCAATATTTGTACCTGAATATTTTCAGAAAAAAACCCCAGCAACTATAAAATCTGAAGAAATGTCGAAGGACGCTTGAAGTCCCAACACGGACTCAGCTGATGTTGACTTCCATTGTTTGTGAGCTCAGCGTTCTCCCTTCAGAACCTAAAGGTTCTGTTTAGGTTGAGCGTTGTGTGGTGAAATCCTCCATGTCAACATGTGATTGTGTAAAACGTGTTAAAGTTCTGAGAACAGCAGTTCAGTCGTGGAAACGTCAACTTCCTGTGACCCGTTGACAAAATCCCATTTCTCACCTATGGGGACATTTCTTACAGATTTGGTCTACATGGATTAAACTACTGCTACCAAAAACCCCAGCCTGATGCATCACGCCGCACATTTTTATATATATTTTTTTAACTATTATTATAAAATACGCCTGACAAGGAACCTGGTTTCGGATTCAAGAGTTCAGCCAGACACCAAGAACGTTTAAACAAGTTTATTACACTTGAGTTACTGGTGGGAGTCTGGATCCGATCACAGCAACTGGTCTTCTCAGACAGGTGAGGCGATGTGCTCACCTCCAGATCTTGGAGAGACGGTGTTCGTGGTGGAAATGACGTCACCGTAGGTGGTGGGCGAGCAGCTGGAAAGGGAGGCCTTTAATGCCGTGAGTTAATCCGACAGAGGGGCAAACTGGGTCATACACGGGGAGGCAGAGGTCCAAGAACAAATCCAGAGGGCAATCCTTAATCCAAAAATCTGAAGAGTAAGGAAGTGTCGTAGTTACCAGGGTCAGAAAGGCAGAACAATCCAGATGTAAAGCAGACAGGGCGGCAAATCCAGGAAACGGGCGTGAGGTCGAGACAAGAAGAACAGGCTTGGACATGGAAGATGGCTGGATATCTACTAGCAAAAGCAGTGTTTCCCCTACCATTATACAAGCAGGGTGCCCCACCCCGTCAACCGAAATGAGCACCCTGCCTACCAAACCAAACTTGCCCCCCCACCTGCCCACCCAGCACTGACATAGCACTAAGCTAGCAGCGAGAAATACAGGTTCTCTAGCTAAAAAGCTAAAGGAAGCACTCATGTTGCCTCTTCCCTCATGCTAAACGCCCCCTTCCCCCACTCAAACACTGTTAGTACAAGCTGCGCTCAGACAAGTGTCCGTCCCCCCATCAACAAAAATCATGGATGAGATGAGCACCCCGCCATGGCAAGTTAACTAGGGGAAACACTGAAAAGTGTTTGATAATCTGGCATAGATCTTGCGTGGATGGAGCTCTTGTATAGAGATGGCAGCAGGTGCAGGGCATGAGCGCTGATTGCGGTGGAAAAGTGGGTGTGGCAGGTGGAAGAAAGCGGCAATCATGACATGCGCCTGTCAAAAGACGGACACTTTATGACAAAGTCTGCATCCGTCTGTAAACTTTTTCTTGTCTGGACCATAACCTCTGATAAGACAATTGAACTTGATACACATCTGCATCATCACTAGACGGAGTCTTGAACTCTTCAAGACCCTGCTCAAAGGTCAGGGTCCGATTGGCTTTGCTTTTCAGACCACAAGTTCTGATCCCTTCAGATGTATTCTCCTGAACTTGGTACAGCTATCACTGAATTAAATGTCATAAACACTCATTGCTGTGTATTTTCTAGTTTTAATAGTTTTAATAATTCAGTAGTTTTTTTTTGTCAAGCCGTTATTGCTCGGAGATAATCGGGTCAGTGCTGTAGGTTGCAGTTTGTTGACGGGCACACAGCGCACTCGTTTATAACATGCAAATATAAAATCATCAAAAGGCTGCTTTACGTTGAAGATTTTTACACTTTTAATAGAGAAATAGGAGCTGGATGGAGATTCTTCATCACAGTCCTGTATTTTTTTTTACATTTTAAAACTATTTCTATGAATTTCCAGCGTTTCTAACTTTAAACACGCCTGCTTCTGTTCCTCGTCCAGAACTCCGGCTCGCTTGCAGGGATTCCCATCTCAGGGGTAAGAACTTTACATTTGATCCAACGTGTGGTTCTGTTCGGACTCCGTGGTACGACCCGGTGGTAACAGACGGACTGTCTCTGTCAGTGTTTGGGGGACCAGTCGGCCGCTCTGGTCGGTCAGATGTGCTTCGAGGAAGGACAGGCCAAAAACACGTAAAATAAACACGATCCTCAGCGGTCAAACGTTGCCGTGTTGGATATTTACGTGACTTTTCTTTTTCTAAACCAACTGTTTTTGTGTAAAGGTACGGTACCGGCTGCTTCCTGCTCAGAAACACCGGGACCAGGGTGAGTTGAAGCCTTCAGGTCTGCAGTCCCACGATGCTCTTCTGTTGTTTTTCTTCATGATCTTGTTTTTTTTTTCAGCCGCTGACGTCGGACCACGGCCTCCTCACCACAGTCGCCTACAAACTGGGGAAGGACAAACCCGCGTGTTACGCTCTCGAGGTTCTGGACCTCCTGTTGGTCTTCAGGTTTCACTCAGAATCTGAGTTTACTCCTATCTGCCATTACATTATGACCACTGACAGGTGAATCTGGGACACGCCGAGCAGACGGTGAACATTCGGTGTTTATAAAGACGAAGAACCGGTGACGATCCAGGATTATTGATGTACGTGGTCCGAGTTGTTCCGATCCAACAGAAGTGCTGATTTTAAAGGTTCTGATGGAACCCAGTTTCTTCTGTTTGGGTCTGTGTTGCTGCAGACAGGTCAGGATGTCCATGCTGTCTAGAGTCCTCCTCCAGATGACACATCAGAAACAGACCATGGATCAATAGAACCAGTTCCTGGTCTGATGACCAGGTGGACAGTCAGGTCCATGTCCATCTCTTACCTGGGGAAGTACCAGACCAGGTGCATTATGGGAAGAAGGTGAGCCGATGGGGACGTTGTGGTTCTTTGGGCAAAGTTCTGCAGGGAACCTGCTGGTTCTGCATTTGTGTGAATGTTCCTTTGACCCGTAGAACTTATCTAAACATTTCCCTCCCCCACCTCCCATCTGCTGCTGATGTGTCAGAACCAGGAACCACAAGAGACCATTAGAGGTCTGCATGAGACCTTCAGAGGTCCATAGGAGACCCTTAGAGATCCACAGACCTTCAGACGTCCACATGAGATCTTCAGAGGTCCACAGAAGACCCTCAGAGGTCCATAGAAGACCATTACAGGTTCTCAAGAAACCCTTAAATGTCCAAAGGAGACCTTCAGAAGTCCACAGGAGACCTTCAGAGGTCCATAGGAGACACTCAGAGGTCCATAGGAGACCATCAGATGTCCACACAAGACGTGTACAGGTCCACAGAAGACCCTCAGAGATCCATAGAAGACCATTAGAGGTTCTCAAGAGACTTTTAAATGTCCACAGGAGACCTTCATAGGTCCATAGGAGACACTCAGATGTCCACAGGAGACCCTCAGATGTCCACATGAGATCTTCAGATGTCCACAGGAGACCTTTAGAGGTCCTCAGGAAAACCTTAGATGTTCATAGGAGACCTATCGTATATAGGTCCACAGGAGACTTTCAAAGGTCCAGAGCAGTCTAGGAGGAGACAGGTCAAAAGAATTAGTTTCTGATTCAAGCCTTTGGTCATAATGTTTTGGCTGACTGGTGTAAATCACAGTCCAGTCCTCCATGGTCCACCTTCATGTCTCCTGATGTTTCTTCTGTCTGCAGGGTTCAGTTGCCATCGCAGGAGCTGTGATTCGCTGGCTGAAGGACAACATGGGCATCGTCCAGTCGTCCTCAGAGATCGGTACGTCCTCCGTCTCACGAACTGAAGTATGAAGGTCTGAGATAAAGACCAGAACCTCCTGGTTTGAGATGGTCCTTCTCTCTTCACAGAGCAGTTAGCAGCTGCAGCAGGAACGTCGTACGGTTGTTACTTCGTACCGGCGTTTTCCGGTCTCTACGCTCCGTACTGGGAGCCCAGCGCTCGAGGGTGAGACGAACACGGTTTCCCTCAGAACCACCGAGGTTCTGGACTTCAGGTGGAGAACCTGACGGTTGGGTTTTGTTTCTTTTCTTCCAGCATCATCTGTGGCCTCACTCAGTTCACAAACAGGAGCCACTTGGCCTTCGCTGCCCTGGAGGCCGTCTGCTTCCAGACCCGAGAGGTGAGGGACCTCCGGTCCTACAGAGTCCAAACTGGATCAGCAGCTAACACAGAGCTGTGTGTTTCAGATCCTGGACGCGATGAACCAGGACACCGGCGTCCCCCTGACGCAGCTGAGGGTGGACGGGGGCATGACGGGGAACAGGTTACTGATGCAGCTGCAGGCCGACATCCTCTGCATCCCCGTCGGTCAGAACACCAGAACACGGCACCGACACGAGTCCAGACACTCGGAGTGTTTTTATATTTCAAACCAAACCTGAAATTTTAAATCTCTTTCTGGGACGAGTAAACTCGTGTCAGCGCAGAGGAGCCCCTCCCAGGTCAAAGATGGGGTTTCATAACTCGTGCTGATAAGACTCACCGGAGACATGAGTCTGGACTCTGTCCCTTCCTGTCATCTTTGACTTTTGTCTCATTAAAAAAAACATTTGGACACTTAAAACCAGTTTGCTGCTAATGGTGTGAATGCTACTAAGATTTCACACTATTGTGATCCTATTGCCATGTCAAAATTCATCCGTACGTTTTCAGCATCTTTCTCGTCCCGCAGTTTTCAGCTATTTCAACAAATCACAAATCAAAACGTTCAGCTCTTTCAGGACAATCCTGCTATGACTTTTAGTATTGGTGCAACTTTAGCTTTTTGAAATATTTAGCCTTTAATGACTATTTTTCTCATAGGAAATGAATTGAGCTAATTTTATATCCTTCACATCTTTAGATCTGTTTACAACCTTTTACTGCTCCTTTCACATTTGGTTCTGCTGAAGCTTCTTTTAGCTTCCTTGTGCAAATTTAAACTTTTCAGCTATTTTCTGCTAATTTCAGCTGTTTTTCAGTAGTTTTGTGCTTCTTTAAGATTTTTTCTGCTAACTAGAACATTTTTGTGCTACTTACAATTTCTTTCTGTTAATTTCCGCTTGTTATGCGCCTTTCAGCTCATTTTTGAAAGTTTCAGCTACTATTTAGCTGTTTTTTTTTTATTTTGGTTGCTAATTTTGCCTTTGTCAGCTAATTCCACATTTTTTGCACTCATTTAAACTATTTTCAGCCTAATTCAACAAAAAATTGCTCTCTCCACTTCCTTCTGGTAATTTAAGCTTCTTTCTGCTTTTTAGCTACTTTCCAGCTGTTTTTTTTTTGTTGTTTGTTGCTAATTTCAGCTTTTTTGGGGATAATTTTCACTTTTTGTGCTCATTTCTGCCTAATTGGGAAAACGTGTTCTTTCTGCTTTCTTCTGCTAATTTAAGCTTGTTCTACTTATTTAACTACCTTTTTATAATTTTAATCTAATTTTGGCTGTTTTGAGATAAATTCAAGTTTTTGGTGATAATTTCTGCTACTTTCAGCCTAATTAAGTTATTTTTGGTAATTTCAGTTTGTCATGCTCCTTTCAGCTTTTTTCTGCTATTTCAGCTACTATTTAGCAGTTTTTACGCTAAACCTAACTTTTTCAGCTAATTCCACTTTTTTTCTTTAGCTTATTTCAGCTCCTTCCACTTCCTTCTGGTAGTTCAAGCTTTTGCCTTTTCAGCTACTTTTCAGCTATTTTTTGCTAATTACAACTTTTTTTTTTAGCTATAATTTCCTATTTTTATGCTCATTTCTGCTTATTTAAACCTAATAAGCAATTATATGTTATTTCTGCTTTATTCTGCTAACTTCAGCATGTTCTTCCATTTCAGCTACATTTCAGCATTTTTTTTTTTTAGCTAATTTCAGCTGTTTTTCAGCAAGTTCTTCTGCAATGAGCATTCACACTGCACTTTCACAGGAAATGCAGTTTCTCCAGTTATCATCTAAAGATCAGTTTCTGTCACAAATAAAGACAACACTGTTAAAAAATACTAAAATCTTTGGATAAAAAGCCAAATAAATGTAGAAAATAAAAACGTTTTATTTGTTGGTCCTATTCTTTTCAGTTCGACCCACCATGTCGGAGACCACCGCTCTGGGTGCAGCCATGGCAGCCGGGGCCGCTCCGGGGGTGGACGTCTGGGACCTGAACCTGGGTCAGCTGCCCCAACTCAAGTCTGAGAAATACAAACCTCAAATCAACCCAGAAGGTCAGAAAAAACACAACACACGAGTGAAAAACAGACCCGGCAGCTTGTAGAACCTTCAGTGGTCTTCTGGGTCAGCCTCAGAAGGTTGTGGAGGACTTTTGGCCCACTCTTCTTTCCAGCGTTGCTTCAGTTTGTTGAGGGTTCTGCTCAGCTCAGCTCTGAAGGAAACATCTCTCTTCTGTAGTGGCAACAGTGTAAAAGGGGCTTGATGGCTTCCTGTGAGTTCTTGGTTCTGTGAGGCTGGGTTTAGTTTTTTAACCACAGCTTTAGTTGTCGTCAGAAGTTGACCCACTTTAGAAGATGTGAAGTTTTTATCTTCAACCTGCCGAGGACCAGATGTTAATGTGTAAATTAGTAGATTTAAAAGACGTGTTCATTCATGTGTAGAAGCCGCCACGCGTACGTACAAACTGTTTATTATAAATAATGAACGGAAAATCACCATGAACTGGTTTGAACCCATTTCTGTCATCTGCTCTTTTTGTCGTTGAAGGAGCGATAAATTGAACTCTGTCGCCTTCTGCTGGTCGTTTCTGTGACCACAGACGATCTGAAGGTGTTTTCTGCTCCAACAGAGAGCGAGTTCCGGTTCGCCCGCTGGAAGAAGGCCGTGCAGAAGGCCATGAACTGGGAGACCACGGAGACGAGCTGCAGCACCAACGGTACAGAGGTTCTACGTCAGATCGTCACGTTCCACTGAAACCCCCTCAGGTCTCTCACTGTCACCCATGTCTGGAAAACAGGTGAAGGGAAGAAGAACGGAGCCCCCTGTTGGGTCCCTACCACCCCCCCTGCCGTCAGAGTGGACCCCTAAGGTCCGACGGTCGATGCAGCATGTCCTGTGTGGCTCTGAGAGTGGTTCTGACACTAACCAGTTTCATCTGAACAAGTTTAACACTAACAAGTTCATCTGTTCTATCATGAGTGAGTTAATCTGTAGGATTATAGTTTTATGGCTGTAGTCAGCCACTACATAACGAGATAACCAGATCTATCACTAATGAGTTAACAAGTTACCCGGTTATATCACTAACGAGTTAATATATTACATGACTAATGAGTTAACGAGTT